ATCTGTATACAAATATTTAACCTCACTGACACAGCAGGAGGTGTCAGACAGTCCCCAGCTAAGTGCTGCCTGCCTGAGGGCCTCTGGCATGCTTTCAGCTGAGGCCATAAGGCCAAAGAAGCAGGGCCTTGGGAAAGGCCTGTGTGGCCTCAGCCTGCTCGGGAAAGCCAAGTTACTATTTATGTATCAACCTGTAAACACCTCACCACACTTCTTTTAAGCTCTCCAGTGTGTGGGTACATTGTTTCTTTTAAGAAGGCTTTTCCTTCAGCAATATTTGCCCAAGTGTTTCCTCTGTACACACTGTTTCTGAGAAATTAGAGTGAACAGCAGAGAAGAGGTCAGCAAAATGCAACCGGACACTTATATCCAGCGCTCAGAATAGCCCCAGCCCCAACTCGGCCCCTCCCTTCCCATCCGATAGGTTTTCATTCACTCCTTCTCAGCAATTAAGATTTTTACCACTGTAATTATTAACAAATGTTTACCAGGCTCCAATTTTTCTTTAGAATACCACCTCCTCCAATACACATAAATACATCATCATAATATCCTCTAGTGAAAAATAGGTTTAAGTCATTATGATTTCATGTCTGTAAAATGTTGAGATCCTGACCTCCAAAATAAACAAAAGCTACCATTTCATCATTTTAGTCTCGCTCCTCAAAAGATAGAGTAGAAGGAGGGAAAAGAATAAGGCAAAGGTGTTGTAGGGACTTCTTCTTATCAATATTAATATATAAATATGTCAATGATCTTGGCAAAATCAAAATCAGCAAGGATAGGCTCACTAGAGACCACAACATCTCATTTGACTAAGAGTACTGAGAACCAAATTTCTAACTAAAAATCTAAACAAAGGATTACATAAAGTAATTCTATATATGCTTCATTGAGTTTCTATTATGTATCCATTTATTCACTCTTCCTTTTAACAAATATTTGGTAAATATTTACTCTGCTCCAGAGTGTCCCATTTTTTTACTTTTATTTCCCTAAAAATAATTCTCCTGTAAATTCCATGCATGTTTAACAATACTCTCTTAATGTCCATCAGTAGACATGGGAATCTGCAGAATTATTCTTCCATTTGGACAGTTGGGAGCTCACTTCCTTTCAGCCTTGGTTTTGAACGGCAGAGGAAAGCCACCACAATACATCCTAGTAGCTTTGAAAGCACGGATCAGACTTCAGAAACAGAGACACATTTCAGCCAATATTGTCTTTCTTTACTTTATGCTTCCTGAGTTGCTGGTTAGACTTGATGTTAAGAAAAGGCCCCTCCCCATAACATCAGAGTTGCCAAGGCTTGCCTTGCTGGGGAGTTACCTAGCCCTGCAGAGCCAAGGCCTTATCTCAGAGGATAAGGTGGAGTTTGCTCTTTTCCCCTATTGCGAAATATGAGACTATTAAGCAATCTGTTTACATCATACAGATCCAAAATCCTGGCTGACTCTTTTAAGGATAAAACATCCATAAGATTTCCTTCTGTTTGGAAAAAGCTACCTGGGAATCTTTCTACCTATCTCAACCTTGGTTCATCACACAAAAAGTTGGCAATTTTCCCTGTCTATACATGTGTGTGAAATGAAAACCGAGTGTTGTTCTCCCAGTTGGCATTTCTGGGTCATTCTGGTAACATTAATTTGTCATCTATGGACCAATTCTATGAAAGTGCCTGGGTTGGAGATGGAACCTTTTGGTACAGAAACAAATATGAGATCAGAAATGTTACAATGTTTCAGTGAGTTTATCCTTAGTAACCACTTTGTGCCTAAAATGTTAACATTGCAAAAACCTTACAGTTATATAAGGTAACCAGTGAAAGAACAGATAGTAAAGCTTCTCTTTATTTTAAAGTTTAAAATTTGATACTTTGTTTCTTTTTTTGAAGAGTATCTTTTTACACCACTAACATAATGTGCAAAGCAAATTATGTGAAAAGGAGATTTAGTTCTTTAACTATATCCCACATAGGTAAATTCATGATTTATACAGAAGGTGACTCCTCTTCTGACTCACTATTCTTAGCGAGTTTTGCAGTTGATGGTTTCTATTGAGCTTTCAGAATGTGGATTAACTGTCATGCCACCCACTGAGAGAAAAGTTGAACCAGGTGAACTGAGGGTGTGGTTGAAGTTGCAGTCTCTCTCCCCTTCTCAGATCTACAACATTAGAAGGAGCTATGAGAACATCTGGTCCTTCTTGTCTTCAGGCTGAGCTGAATGCAATCCCCTCAACTTTGGGGAACCCTAAGAAGAATTTTAGGAGCATGACTGTTTCAAAGTAACTAGAGCTTCTGGACCTTATTTGCCCTAGTAGTCGCTTAATGGGAGTGCACCTTATTTGTGCCAATTATTTTAAAAATCTTGGTTTTATTTTAAGTTTACTTTTGCCAAGTGTGCTGCAATATGCTTCGGCTATGTTTATCCTAGAAGCAAGAGAAAGATAAAAAAGATAACTTGGATAAAAAGAAGTATGTTTGATAATAGAAATGTAAGGTGTTCCAGCTCCTTGCCCTTGGAATTTCTGATCTTTAAAACGGGAGCACGTATTTCTGCCATGAATGTACCAGAACTCAGCTACTTCCAAACAGAGAGAGCAGTTTGCTTTCCTTCAAATACACCCTTCTGCATGCAATTTAAAATAGGACATAGACTCACGTTGTTGAGGAATACATTCCCACTCAAAATACAAATCCTTATTAGAGGTGTTGACAGTCGAGTCATCTGTTTCTTCATTCTCAACCACTGAGACCATGGATAAGCCATCAAACCCATGTCCATTTCAACTTCGTTACACTTTCACCTCGAGCTACTATAAAATGTTGGTGCTTCCACCCCCACCAGATGAAGCCAGGTGAGACAGTGGGAGTCAACTGGGTGGGCACTGAATTAGATACTAGTCGCTCCTGATTGTAGTTTCAAGACTTGTACTGCAGAGGAGCCTGTGCGGTTGGATGTTCTCCACCAAATAATGACACCAGAAACAGCCATGCCTTAGGGCCTCAGGATTCAACAACAAGCAACTAGTGAAAGATGCTTTGAAAGAAATGTAATCAACTCAGCCTCCAACCAACGTGGAAGGTGTTCATTAAAATAAAAGCCTTATCAGAATAGGAAAATACACAAAATCCATATGGCAAGTTTAATCACCAAAAAGCCAAGCAATTTTACAGATGTTTCTGCCAACTTTTGTTGTCATTTTTTAAAAGAAAACTGGCTACAAATTTGCGTGCTATTCATTACATTGTCGTCTTAATTTTTGTCCCTGAAAATCATGGGAAATATTTCAGGAAATAAACTTCTTAATCAAAGTCTTAAGAAATCCATGTACAATATCAAACTACAGTAAGGTATTGTTAATCCTACAAACCTTATAAGCTCAAGAAGTGGTTTACATCTCCTGTGAACTTAGCTAGAACATTCTTCTCAAGGAACACACACACACACACACACACACACACACACACACACACACACACACACACAAAATACATCTCATTCTCAAGCAGCCTCGCTGATTTTTCTACTTTAATTGTCCTGAAACTACAGAATATTCGCTCCATCTACAATATTTCTTACATCCACATGCTATATAACTTTAAGATTCTTATCTCCTCTTTGACACTGGGACAGTGACAAAGTCACCACAACGGAGACTTTACATCATGGGTTACAAAAATCTTGAAACAAAAGTTTTACTATTTTGCTTTCCCTAACTAGACATTTTCCCACAGTCATGTTGTGTAAAAGTGCAAGGAACCCATAAAACAATATGAAAGAAAATACTGTAGTTTCCTTTTTCCTAAGGAACTTAGGTATCAAAATCGTATTAGTCTCAAGAGCATAAATGCGGGAAGTAGGGAGGTGGAGGGGGGAAACCAATCCTCCAACATTACATGGTCAGAAGAGACTTACTAAGGAAACATGAGAAAACACAGTGCCACACTATTCAAACTATTCCAGGTGGCACTAGAGCATCACTTGCCTGGGACCAGTCAGGCTGAAGAATCACTCCAGAACATACAATACCTTCCCTCTTTTTCCTAACCGCACCACCACTCTGGTCCAAATTTTTGGTAGGCGTTAAACGTTTACCAAATGGCACCAATCAGACTATAGTTTCCAAAATGCATATGAATTGCCTCTCAGGTAACTAAATGGCACAATTTATGACATGGTTCGCCTGCAAGTTTCATTTAACTTTATGAGTACTGATTGTTTTAAATCTCATTATAAGTATTAATAATACCTTATACATTTGTGATGCCTTCACATAACTGCTTTAATAAATATTAAGCCCTGCCTTCTCACTATCAAAAAAAAAAACAGTATTATTCCCACATTACTCATAAGTCAAGAGATAAAAGAAGGCACACCGAGAGTATCACGGCATGAGCTAAAATTTAACTCTTAATTGGTTTTTAACAGGCACTGGGGAACATCAGCAAAAGGGGTCCTGGAGGCTTTTTAAGCACAACATGCTTGTCCATCTTTTCCTAACTGACACTCATCCATGATTACCATTCTTTATATCCTCAGCTTAGACCCATTTTTCTGGCAATAATGGTATCATACTTTTTCTGTAACACCTGTTTCTCTACTCTGCAAGCTGTAAGAGAAAATATTAGCAGATTCAACCAAATAAATTTCTATAAAGCTAACATCTTCCCTGAATAAGTCATTGGAAGGTGGCTCATATCATCTGGCAAAATATTTTTCACTAAGAAGCACAGCTAACACAGGCACCTGCTTCAAAGGACCCCTTCCCCCTTATTTTTAAATCATGCAGGACTATACTGACTGAGACTCTGATGGCCCAATAAAGTTCTTAAAATTACTTTCTGTGTTGAAGCAAAATGCAGAGATTAATCAAACTCCATAGAAAAGCTTTGATTTTTAACTTCCAAAATAAAAGATACATGAAATGTATGAGTGCTCTTATCTACAAAGATATATGTATATGAACATACAGTTGCCCAGACGCAGAAAGCTCACCTTCTACTTCCTCTTCATCACACACATGCTTAAGGAAGGAAGCCCCTCTGTCCAGGACAGCTTCATCCTCCATCCTATAGTAATAAAAAAGAAAAAAAGAATGCTCAGACTTCTCCTGGAGTGAGCCACTTGAAGCAGCCCAGCTTCTGGGCAGGTTAACCTGCCAGCTGTTGTTCATGTTAACGGGGCAGAGTCACTCTTCCTTTGGTGTCTGCGACTCCTTCACACAGCTCCTCTCCTCTGGCGCTGGAGAATACGCTGGTCCCACATAGCTTTGGCTCTAACCTTGAGAGGACACCCACACGGACAGGTGAGAGAAAATCATCTGGATGTGGAGGGTTCTCCCCTTTGAGATTTGCAAAAAACAAAAGATGAAAAGACAAATAAAAAATACCAAGAGAGGAAGTTTGGTGTGCCTGGAGTGCTCGTGATGATCGTTTGTGGAAACCCAGCTTCAGTGCTTAGCTCTTTAAATACCCACTGCATAAAAATGTATGCCCTCACGCACACATGCACACCCACCCACACACAGAAAGCGACAGGGAGTTAGGCTAGTGCACGGTGGGAGCCTAGCTTCCAGCCAGCCTCTTAATACCGGCACAGCCCAGTCTTCTCTGTTGAGTGGCAAGCTTTGAGTCACATGTTGGCCTTACGGAAATCTGACATCTGAGGATTATCCACAACCCGGTTTCGGCAACAGTCACATATATATGCCACCCATTCATTCTGTTCCCACATTCTTAGCGCACGTCTCTCTCTATGCATATCTGTCCTGATAACTCTTCTCTGAAGGGCACCAAGTTCTTCATTTTGTAGCCACATTATGCTGTTCTCCAGTCTCCTTACATAATAGATCTACTCTGCAATTTCATATGCTAAATAAGACCTCAGAATCCATCCAAGTAATGACAGCGTTTTTTACGGCCTCCCAATGCCAAACATGTTTCTAGTTTATTGAGCTAAGGTTTATCTCCGCATTCTGTGACTCCTTTTCATCGCATTTACTTTGACATACAGAATTCCATGAACTCTATTTATAGCGAAAGCAGACAGAAATCCCGAATTGCTCCAATGCTGCTTGTGTCGTACCGATCTAGAAACAAAGAATTTTCTCTAGAGACAGCTGCTCGATGTCATACCATACATGAGCTCTGCCAGAGAACCAAATGTTCACTCTGTATTCTAGTCATCCAGTTATATGCCCAGGCACTGAATAGTGTAGGTCTGTTTTCCATATTGTCTGTATGACTTATCCTTGTGCTTCAGATATTTGTTATAATATATGTGGATATGCACTGAATTCACATTTTCCTCCTTTCTATTTTAGGAGCATATCTATCATGCAAAGCAACCATCTTAGCACCAAAAGTCAGAAGTTTGGTGTCAGGTGGACCTGGGTTTCAAAAATCTAGTCCTACTACTTAGCATTTGTATCATCTGGAACAAAGTATTTAACTTTTTTGAGCCTCATTGTTTCCATCTTTAAAATTGGGAGTAATAACATCAACTTTGCAGGACTGCTTTGAGATTCAAATTAGGTAACATACATGAAAGCACTGAGTTTTGTGCCTAGCACCTAGTATGTGTTTAATAAAGGTAAGTTGCCTTCCTTTCTTCCTTCCTTCTTCCTTTTTAACCTGGATCTTTACTGGTGGACAATGTCTTTAAGCAAATCATTACCTTTAGATACTTGCAGAATATCTTCTTTCAGGGATATGGGACTTCTATGCTCTAGTTCATCCTGACATGTATCATTTTCCTTCTCTGTATTCAAAATAAAAACAAAAAACTAAATACGAAGAGGATCTGGATCAGCCTTCAGGATTAAGGATAGGAAACATGCCAGGAAGACTCGAGAACAAGTCACTTATTAGCCGTCTCTGAGCCTCAGGTTACCATGAAGGTTAAAGGATACACTGAATCACTGAATCAGTGACTCACTGATTCAGCAAATTTTATTTAGTGTCTGCTATGTTTCTGGCACTCTTCAGAGAAAGGAGAATACATCTGTGAATAAGACAGACAATTCCTAAGAAACTAATAATAAGTAGATAAACAGGCTAACTGTAGATAGCATTGAGTGCTTTGCAGGAAATAAACTGAGGCAGGGGGCTGGCTACTTGGTATAAGGTGGTTCAGGTGAAGCTTCTGAGGAGGTGACATTTGAGCAGAGAAAAAAAATGATACAAAGGAACCAGACATTTGGAGATCTGGGGACAAAGCATTTCAAGCAAAGGGAGCAGTAAGTGCAAAGGCCCTAAGGTAGAACAAGTTTAGCACATTCCAGGAACAGAAATGAGGTTAGGGAGCCTGGACAGAGAGGCAGAAGGTCAACAGTAGTTAACAGTACTACCACTGGGTATCTGGGCCATGCAAGCCATGGCAAGCAGTCAGAATTTTAGGTGCTCTAGGGGTTATTGAAGAGTTTTGTTTTGTTTTGTTTTATTCTATTGCGGTATAATTGGCATATAACATTACATTAGTTTCAGTTGTATAGCATAATGACTTAATATTTGTACATACAGTAGTCCCCCCTTATCTGTAAGGGATACGGTCCAAGACCCCCAGTGGATACCTGAAACCAGCAATAGTACTGAACCCTATATATATGATGTTTTTTTCCTAAACATACATAGCTATGATAAAGTTCCATTTATAAATTGGGCCATTTTACAGATAGAAGGTTCACTCTTACTGTAGATTTTAGCAACCTCAGCATACGATAATTTTTTCTTTCCTTATTAAGTTGAGAACTTTTACCTTTTTACTTAAAGGAAGCGCTTTATGGCTTCTCTTTGGCATATGTGCCCGCATCACTACTCTTGCACTTTGGGACCATTATTAGATAAAATGAGGGTACCTGAACAAAACCACTGTAATACCGAGACAGTGGAGCGGATAACCAAGATGTCTACTAAGTAACTAACAGGGAGGGAGCGTGCACAACGTGGACACGCCAAACAAAGGGAAGATTCATGTCCCAGGCTGGACACAACAGGACAGCGCGCGATTTCATCACACTACTGAGAACAGCGCACAATTTAAAACTTAGCAACTATACACTTCTGGAATTTTTCATTTAATTATTTTCGGACCCCAGAAGGCTATAGGCAACTAAAACCATGGAAAGTGAAACCCCTGATAAGGGGGGACTACTGTATTATGAAATGATCACCACAATAAGTCTAGTTAACATCCGCCACATACAGAGTTACAAAATGTTTTTCTTGATGACAACTTTTAAGATCTACTCTCCCAGCAACTTTCCAATGTGCAATACAGCATTATTAACTAAAGTTAACAGTTTTAAGATGGAAAGTAACTTCAGCTGTTTTACTTTTTTAAAGGCTCACGCTGGCTGCTGTATGAAAGCTAGATAATCAGGAGACCAAAGAAACTAGGAAGTGATCTCAGGAGCCCAGAGAAGACTATGGGAGAAACAGGTTTTAGGGAAGGAATCAAAAGTTCTTTTCTGGCTACTTTATGGTTAGGATGTTTATTATACATAAAAAAGGAACTGTCCAGTACACAATTAGATGTCTCAGTCTGCAGCACAGGAGCCCGGGACTGGAGATAAAAATTGGCAAATCAATGAATAAAGGTAGTCACTGAAATTATTACTAGATGAGATCATCCAGGAAGAAAATGCAGAAATAGAGGTGCAAACCTAAGACCAAATCCTGGGCATGCCAACATTTACAAGCAGAATAGAGGAACAAAAGCAGTCAATGAAGTAAGAGAAAAAACAGGAAAGAGTGATGTCAGAAAGCTGAGAAAGAGGAAGGTACTGCTACTGAGAGGCTGAGAAAGATGGAGACAGAGAAGGAAAAATTGGATCTGGCAATATGGAAGCTGTTGATGATGATGACCAAAGCCCTTAAAACACACCATACATAATGCCAGACACACAGGCGGCATTCAATCATTCCCTTTTCTCTTTTCTGCCCTCCTCCATTCATTCATTCAGTATATAATCACTGGGTACCTAATAGGTGCCAGGCACACTTCTAGGCACTGGAGATGCAACGATAGGCGTTGCTCTAATGTATTTACATCTGCCTACTCAAAGACTCCCATAGCAATCTAGGAGAGTCCATCCAAAGGGCAAGAACCCATTAATAATACAGCCCTTAAAGACGACTTGATGGAGAAGTTTCCTTAAAAGACCTCAGAAGTACAACAAATCCCTAGAACCCTGCACTATTGCATACCCATTAATGGGACTATCTCCTCTTTGGAAAACAAAGAGGAGTTTAAACCACATTTCTTCTCAGAATTAACCCTTTCCAGTCCTATCAACGTACAGAATCAAACACCATTTTCTATGGAATATCATTTGTGCACCCCACCATTAATTAAGCTGGCTCTGAAGTCTTTTATTATCTTTTTACACATTCCCTAAATAAAATGTTTAGCCTTTGCACCCAGGCCCTTCCCAAAATTGCATGCAAGGAACAAGCAAAGTAAAAACAAAGGGAAAAAAACAGTAACAAGTGAGACACTGTAACAACTGTAACAACTGTAGAAACTTTAGTGCCCAGAGCTCTGCTCTTAGGTGGAGAAATCCATCCAGCCTAACTGAAGTACTGCGCCCCCACCCCCAACCCCTCCACCCCGCCTGATCCATGAGTTACAGTGATAATAATGATTGGTGCATTCCTTGGCTCTTTGATACATAGTTCACATTCCCTCCAGGACTATACATAGCAAGTAATTAGAAACCTAGTTCTGAGGACAATGCAGAGTGTCTGCAAGCAGCCTCTTCCTGGTAGGAAGCGAAAAAGGAGTGTTGCAAACTGAAAATACCAGGCCTACAGGCCCACAGGGGCCTTTCCCCAGAGCAGTCCAGCCTGGAGCATCTGGGCTTTTGTACAAAGTACAAGGAATTTACAGCTTTTTTCCATCTTTACATCACTAACTGTCAACTATTTAGGTTTGTGTTCCCTCCTAAAATCCCCTCAACAGTTGCTAGCTATTATTAGCAAGACAGAGATATCTTTTGAAATGATTGTCTGACCCAACCAGTTTCCCCTCTATCCGCAGGAAGAAATGAACTCATCAAGTCCCTAATCGGGCCCCCAAATCCATTCTTAAAATGTTCCTTTCGCATGGACTGCATTTGTTGAAAACAGAAAAGGGAAGGAGCATGCTTCCAAACTGCCCCCGTGGCTCCCACCGCCAGCGTGAGGCAAAGTTCAGAATAGATTTGGAAGCTTCTTCCCAGCATCACGGGGATAAGGGTCAGACCAGTCAGTACGAAATCCACACAGGGCCAATGCTGCCTTCCTTCCTCAGGGCCTCTGCCGGGAGAAGGGAGACCGTTCCTCAGGAGTCCACACAGCGTGAGGTTTCTCTTATTTCCCATTATACTGGGACGCTAAAATGATTTAAGTGTAACACATGTCAAATCTGCTGCCGAACAGGCCGGCTTTCACCAGCCAGTCCTAATCACTGAACAGACTTGTAAGGGTGACTTAAGCCCAGCACGAGAAACATTTGTGCAAAACTGTCAGCCATTGGGTCTTGGGCACCCATCGACATTCCATCCCTCTGAGTTCCCACCCC